ACATACATTAACACAATGCACATGCACACACAGCACACACATAAACACAATGAACACCGCACGCATACACATGTATAGACATGTGCACACACATTTACACAAACACATTTGCACACCAAAGCATATGCACTAACACACATGCACACGCGCACACACATGCACACGATACAATGTACACATGTACACACACAAGCACACACACTAACACACACATACACACACACACATACATGTGGTCTGGACGTACCCTTCGGAGGTAGGAGAGGCAGAGAGGGTCTGAGAGCAGACCCCAGAAGCTGGGATTAGCAGAACCTGATGCCATGGGTGATGATGAGGATGGACTGCCCGGCCAATGCCTTGGCAGTCTCTCCGATGGCCCTTCGCCCCACTGGCCTCCTGCCCCCGATGCCCGCCCCAGGTCCCAGCCAACTCACCATTTTCCCTGTGCTGGAAGGAAGGCGAGAAGTCTTTGGCAGTGATCCTGGCCATCCGGGCTTCTTCTTGAGCTTTCTGAGCCGCAGTGAGGGCTGCCTCCGCCTTGGCTCGGGAGTGGGAGGTCCTGCATAAGTGAGAGCAACAGGGGAGATGGGTGAAGCACATTCCAGAGCTGCGGATGGAGAAGGGACCTCACAGGCCGTGCAGTCCAGCCTCTGGCTGAGCAGGGATTCCCTGCAGGATAACCAGAGGAGCAGGGGTCATTCAGTGAGGGAGCCCCCAGCCTCAGGAGGTGGCCTGCTCCACTCTGGGGCAACTTTTTCCCAACATGGAACATCAACCCACTGCCCAACGCGAACAAAGAAAACAGTCATAGAGTTAGAGCAGAGTCACGGAGTCCAGCTCATCACTTCATAGATTGAGAAACTGAGGCTCAGAAAGTTTAAGTGACTAGCCCAGGGCCACACAGCTGGTAAGTGGCAGGAGCAGAATCTGAACCAAGGTCCCTGATTCTGAGCCCTGCACTTTATCCACTATACCACACTGCACCCCCCTCAATAATGATCATAGCTAACTAACATTGATCTCATGCATTAGTATTTGCAAACTGCTTTACAAAAAAAAAGAGATTATGGAGAACCAGAAGGGATTGAGAGGCATCTGGTCCAACCCTGATATCCCACAGAGGAGGAAGCTGAGGCACGGAGGGTAAGGGGCTTGCCAGAGGTACCACAGGTGGTAAATGTCGAATGCTGCTTCTCTGCCCCTCAGTATGTCCATGAATGGGATGGATGTGACTGTGGAGCCCAGACAGAAGCAGCAGCTGCTGCTGGTGGCCCTGGCACCTGTTGCAGGAAGGGCAGGGAGTGACGTGCTCCAAGAAGAGGATGTGAGCTCTCTCTTCTTGTAAAGAGGCCAGAAGTGAGAACGAAATCTGCACGTCAGGACAGACTCCCTGCCAGGACAGCACTGCCTCCTTCCCCAGGGTCTTACTGAGGGATGTTTCCAAGAAAGAGCTGCTGAGAACCAAGGGACCCTCAAAAATCAGAGATTCCAAGCTAGAAGGGAGCTGAGCTCAGCTTCTCAGTCAATCAGTCAACAAGCATTCAATGAGCACCTACTCTGTGTCAGACACTGTGCTAAGTGCTAGCAAAGAACGATGTGAACATGGTTTCTGCCCCAAAGGGCCTTACATTCTACTGGGAGAAGACAACATGCTGATAACCAGGCACATACTATCTATCGATCTATCTGCCCATCTATCTATCCATCCATCCATCCATCTAATCATCTATCAATCTATTATTCACCTATTTATCATCCATCAATCTATCATCATCTATCAATCTACTCATCATTCATCTATGTTTCTATCATCTATCTTTACCATCCATCCCTCTATCTATACACACCTGTACATAATATATTCCATAGTGTGTGTATATATGTATATATTTGTGTCTGTGTATGTATGTGTGTATACACACACTATGGCATACATATTATATATACACACATACATATTATGGTATATATTATATATACACACTATGATATAATATATGATATCTTGATATGTATAATATATGTAGCATATATGGTATATGCTATAGACAGATATGTATATTCTATATCTAATCACATCATATATATGATATAGTGTATATTACACATATACCATATAGTATATATTGCATATATACCATATAGTATACATGAGAGATATAGTATCATACATACCATATAATTGCTATATATGTGCACCATATAATGTATATGATATATATAGTATATGCTGTATAGTATTATATAATTTCCAAATATCATATATAGTATATATTACATGCCTACCATATACACTATTTATTATATAGATTATACACCATATATTATATATGCATATATACACACACCCACACCCACATATATATATATATACCCACACACCCACAGTCACATACACAACTCTCTCTCTCTCTCACACATACACACACACACACACAGTATAGGAGAAGGCAGTAGTGGGGCAGGGGGTGCACCCCTTGCAGGGCTCCCTGGAGAAGGCAGTATTTGAACCGAGTCTTGAAGGAAGCCAGCAGGCAGAGGAGAGGAGGGAAAGCATTCCCTAAATCCAATTTTCATTGAGCACAGCCTCGGAGATGTAAGGAACACAGAATTGCCATCTGACCTGATGGGTGGGGCGGGACAGATCTCTTCAGGGGCCCTAACAGTGAGTGAGGTATGTGAAATGATGCCATTGCCACCACCACCACCATCCTTACCAACATGCCAAGGTTGCTGTGAGGATAAAAGGAGCTGATACACTTGCCAATATTCTCTTACACTACACTAACTCTGCGTGAAACCTTTCTCCTGTCTGCTCTAGTTACCATCCCCCAAACACACAAGGAATGTTCCTACTTCTGCAGCATTGCTGATGTAAGTCCTCTGCATCCCCCATCTCCATCCTCTCTACTTACTTCTCTTGTTTTCTAGTCCCACCTATTTTTCAAGGCCTGTGCTTAATAAAAATAAGAACGATAGCCAGCATTTATAGAATGCTTTAAGGTTTGCAAAGGCTTTACAAAAAAAAAAATCATTTTAACCCAGCAACAACCCTGGGGGGCAGGTATTATTACCATTTTACAGACAAGGAAACTGAGTTTGACAGAAGTTAAGTGACGTGCCCAGGGTCACACAACTAGTAAAATGTCCAAGGTCACATTTGAACTCAGGTCTTTGCTGTTCTGGGTCTAGGGCTCTATCCGCTTCACTACCTAGCTGCCTCAAATAAGTCCTTTTTTCATGAAGCGATCCAGGAAAGGCCTAACCATTCTAGTCAACTTGTGAGGTTTTTTTCTTCTAATTTAGAATGTCAGAGCTGGGAGGGCCCTTAGAACACAGAACGTCAGAGGTCGAAGGACCCTCAGAACACAGAACGTGAGAGCTGGGAAGGCCGCCAGAACACAGAACATCAGAGCTGAGAGGGCCCTTGGAACACAGAATGTCAGAGCTGGGAAGGTCCAAACAAGACAGACAATTAGAGCCGGAAAGGAACTCAAAAACCATCCAGTTCAAATTCTGGAGGCTACCCACTGAACTGCTATTACAGCCAGACCTAGAATCAAAGTGTCATACATGGAAGCATGAAACTCACTTTTTAAAAAAATAGAGCTTCCATTTTCCCTCAGACAGTCCTACAACGTGCAACTTGCCCCCACCCCCCACCCCCAAAAAAACAAAGGGCATATGGATCCCAGTAAATAGTTTATGAACGCACACTCACATAGGCTTATTGGCACCCAGCCCCCTACTCATGTACCAATCCTGGCACGCCTGCCTTACACATGTCTGTTCTACTCCCTCTGCAGCTCCTTGGAAGAATTCTGCCTCTTTGCCACTGAGTTAAAGAAATCCAAACACTTCCTAACATAGGCTTCCATTTCTTATTAGGAAACCTACTGGGAATAACAACAAAAAGGCTCTCACATGTCGTCCTGCTTTTTCTGAGTTTCCTGTAATTTTGCCTGAATGAGGAGAGGGAGGGCTGGCCAAGCAGCAGAATGCTCGGCAGGGTTGATTCCCAGGAGGGCCCTGGCCGGGCCAGACAGAACTATTCCCTGCATTCCACGGGTGGCTGTGGACATGGCACCCAAAGCCCGGGGCAGGATCTCCCTCTCTGACTTCTGTCCCGTTAAGCCCAGAGCCCGGACCACCACATTTGGAGCAACCCCTACTTGCGGGGCACTCCAGGCTCCCTGACCCTTGGTTATTCACACTGTTACGGGTGCTGTGGCTACTTCTGAGGCCTCACTAGGACAAAACCTCTACCAACCACTTGGATCAAGTCTAACCATTAGTCTATCAGTCAGTCAACAAGCATTTATTAAGTGCTTACTATGTACCCTAAGTGCTGGGGATCTAAAGAAAGGCAAAAAACAGTCCCTACCCTCAAGAAACTCAGAGGGCAGACAACATGAAAACAACTCTGTACCAACAAGATACCGACAAGCTAAACTGGAGATAACTAGTACATGTATGTTATACACAGAATAAATTAAAGATTATCTGAAGGGGGTGAAACTCTAGTAGCTGGGGGGGGGGATGCATTTAGGGAGGGAGGAAGACCAGGAAAGGCTTCTTGTAGAAGGTGGGACTTGAGCTAAGTCTTGAAGGAAACCAGAGAAATTAAGATGAGCTAGAGATGGGCAGCCCAGGCATGGGGGTAGCCAATGCAAAGGCTGGGAGATGGGAGATGGGAGGAGTGCGGAGTATGAGGAACTAAAAGTAGGTCAGTGTGGCTGAATTGCACAGATCATGGAGGGGAGTTAAGTATAAGAAGACTGGAAGGGCAGGCAGGGGGCAGATTGCAAAGGGACTAAATGCCAAACAGAAGGCTCTCTGGATCAGAGATCCACCGGGGGCAATGGCAAAACTTCACATAGGAAGGAGTGATCTTCCCTACTCCCTCGACCCCAAATGGTCCTGGCCATATTACCTTGTGCCATCTTGAGTGCAGAGCCTCCTTATCAAAGCCAAACGGAAGGGAGCCATTTTCCCCCACTTCAGCTCTTGCTCCCTCTTTCTCACCCCTCTTCCGCCTCCCCTGCCCAGCACCAGGATTTTCTTGTCACCCTGCTCCCCTATTTCCCAAGTTTCAAAGGAATGTGATAAGGGAGGCAGAACAGTAGAGTTGGAAGTCGTGGGTTTTACACTTGACATTGTCTCTGAGTAGCCATGAGATGTTGGGCAAATCATTCCTTTGGTCTTCTATGGACCTGAATTTCCTCATCTGTGAAACTAAAGACTTAGGTGGTATGGAGGTAGGTAGCATCAAGCACATTGTCTGCTCCATCTTTCTTGTGATGAAGAAAAACGATTAAGCACACACACACACACACACACACACACACACACACAAATCCAATACAGAAAGGTGACTCATTCTGCCATCATGAGTAGTGACCATCTCACTGATTATTTAAGCATCCCTTTATTTCTTTCAAGGATGTTCTGTATTTAGGGCAGCTAGCACCTCTCTTTTATGATGGGGTAGGTGTGTTTCCTCAGCTCTTTCTTAGGACCTTCGCTGGGTTTCCATTTCCCAAAGCTCTGCTTCCTTTT